GCGCATCTTGGCTCTCTCGGCTGGGCTCTGTGCCTCCTGGCCGGTGCCATAGTTTGCGCATCAAACAGTGATTTGGCTCTCGCTCTCGCCCTTGCGTGATAAAGGCTGCCGAATACCCTATAGATGCTGACACGCTGCTGTTGACCGCCAACGTCAACTCTGGCAATGTGTCATCCCAGCATCTCTGGTCACCTCCAGCGAACTGCGCAATCATCTTTTTCACTGCCCTGTTGGCCCTCAAAGTTTGATTCTCTTGAGGTGTGTATGGTGCTGTCAGCTGGTGGCGCACCACAAGCTCCTCTAGAAACACCTTGAATGGCCGACTGGTGAATTGGGTACCATTATCCGTAATGAGCACCTTTGGCGTGCCGAACCGTGCCAAGATCCGCTCTCGAAATGCCTTTTGGAGAGCCGCGCTATTCGCACTCCGCAGCGGAACCATCTCCGTCCATTTCGAAAAGCGATCTATGAAAACCAAAAGCATAGTGTTCCCATGCTTTGATCTCGGCAGTGGGCCAACAAAATCGGCACAAACTGTTGCGCATTGCTCCTCGGGCACCTGCGTCAGCATTTGCCCAGCAGCTTGCAGCTGACTGGGCTTATATCGCTGACACACTTCGCAGCGCTATACGTATGTTCTCACATCCCGGTACATACCTGGCCAGTTATTACTGGTATTCCGCGCTGCCACCCGGCGATTGTTTTTAGGCTCCCAAGGTGGCCAGCGGTAGCTGCGTCGTGATTTTCCTCCAGTACTTGTTTGCGCCGGTCCGCCGGCACGCACAACTTCCATGCAGTTACATCCTCGTGGCCGGCTTGATGCGGGATGTGCCGATATAGGTTTCCAGCCTCTTCCATATATTCTGGCGCCTTCTTTATGTCCTGTCGAAGCTTGGTAAGCCAGCGACATCCTGTCCCAACTGGCATCTCCTTGCTCTTGACCAAACGGCACGCCTCTTTGCCCAGAGGCTGCCGTGAGAGCGCATCTGCTACCACATTCTGCTTGCCCTTCCTGTAGCGAATCTCGAAGTCATACTGCTGCAGCTCTAGTGCCCATCTGGCAATCCTTCCCGTTGGGCTCTCGATCGAATTGAGCCACTTCAGAGCCATATGGTCAGTGACCACTACAAATTTGCAGCCTTCCAGGTATGGCCTGAGCTTTCGTATGCCCCTAATTATAGCCAGACACTCTTTCTCAGTAGCTGAATAGTTCTTTTCAGCACTGTTCAGTGTCCGGCTGGCATACGAAATGACGCGCTCTCCGTCCTCCGAGGTCTGCGTCAAGATTGCCCCAAGCCCATAATTGCTTGCGTCCGTTTGCAAGCAAAACGGCTTCGAGAAATCAGGGCACGCCAGCACCGGTGACTCCGTCAATTTGCCTTTACCGTCTGGAACGCTCTTTGCCGCTCCTCTGTCCACTCCCACTTCGTGCCCTTTTTAAGCAGTGCATTTAGCGGATGCACTGTGGCTGCAAAGTCTGGTACGAAGCGGCGGTACCATGAAGCCACGCCCACGTATTGGAGTAACTCTTTTACGTTTGTGGGTGGCTTCAGCTCGGCGATAGCGGCCACTTTCTCTGGATCCGTGCAAATGCCATCCTCCGTGACTTTGTGACCCAGATACTTTAGCTCCTTCTTGAAAAAATAGCACTTGTCGATGTTGTATTTCAAGTTGGCTGCCCGTAGTCGCCGGAACACCTCTCGTAGGTTGTTCATATGCTCCTGTCGCGTTCGGCCGATGACGATGATGCCGTCCAGGTAGGCAAAGGCATGGGGCTTAATTTCTGGGCCGGTAACTCCAGTGCTCGCTGAAATGTTGCCGGCGCAGAATGGAGTCCACACGGCATCACTTTCCACTGATAAAGCCCCTTTCCTGGCACCGTGAATGCCGTCAGTGGTCTGCTGGCTTTCTCCATAGGTATCTGCCAATATCCATCCTTCAAATCCAGGCTGCTGATGTAGCGCGCCTCTCGCAGCTGATCCAAAATGTGATGCACACGCGGCAAAGGGTATGCATCTTTAATGGATCTGCTGTTCAGCTGTCGAAAATCCACACATAGCCGCCACTTCCCATTCTTCTTGCGAACCATGACAATCGGCGCGCTATGTGGGCTCTTCGAGGGCTCGATGCAGCCTTTGGCCAGCAGCTCATCCACCTGCAGGTTGATCTCCGCCTGAATTTTTGGATTTTTGGGGAAGTAGCGCTGCTTTATGGGCCTGTTGTCCTGCATCCTGATCCGGTGCTCCGTGATCCTGGTGTTGCCTTTCACATGCTGGAACTTCTCCAGCTCATGCCTCAGAAAAGCGTCCACCTCTGGGTCTTTGTGCATAGGCGTTGGCTGCTCCATCTTCGCCTCCGCTGGCGTCTCTGGGTCCGCCTCCACTCTGGCCACAGCCACGGACAGCTTCTCCTCTGACTGTCCGCTCGACTGTGGAATTCTCGGCTTGATCCTCAGTGTCAAGCCGCCGCATTCCAGTGTGGTGCCCATGCTGGCCAAGAAATCCCAGCCCAGCACCAAATCGTCGATCACTCCTGGCAGAATCAGCAACGGGATCTGGATTTGCTGATTCCCCAGGCTGATCGTCGTCTCCAGTTGCGAGTCCACCTGACTGCAACTGCCGTCCGCTAAGCGTATGCGCCGCCGTGTAGCACGCACCACGCCCACTCCTCCGAGCCTGTCAGCAAGCTTTTCGCTGATAAAGCTGCTTGTGGCTCCCGTGTCGATCGCAGCTCTTTGTTGAGTAGCTCCAATGGCCACGATCGCTGTCATCTGGCTGCCTTCATCCTGAAGACGGCCCACTAGCACCTGGGGGCTCCTGGCCGCTGCTCCCACTCGCCCCTTGATGGCGGGTGCCGCTGTTCGTTTCCCGACTGGCAACAGGCAAACGTTCTCACTCCAATGCGCCCGCACTGCTAGCAGAAATCCAGTGCCTTGTTGCGGCACTTAAAAGCGCGGTGCCCCTCCTGGCCACACACTCGGCATGCCCTGCCTGGGTTTGGGATGTGTGTTCGTGCTCCGGCTGTGCCTGTCCTTGGCGCAGGCGAAGGCTTTGCCTCATCCTCCATGCGGCGATACTCCACATCGCCTCCAGCGTCGTCCATGGCCATCAGTCGTGACCGGCCAGGCCGTGGCTGTTGCCGCAACCGCTCGCGGTCCCTCTCCAGCTCCTCAAACTCATCTGCCAGTTGCATCAATTCCACTAGATTATGGAATTGATATGGGCGGGCGTAGGCACGCAGATCGGGCAGGCTGTTGTTATAGATGAGCTTCATCTCGCGGTCTGCTCCATAGCGCAGAGGCCGTATGAGAGTCTGCATCTCCACCATGTAGACCTTGAAGCTCTCATCTACCATTTGCCTCCGGCGTTTGACGTCATCCTCCAGCTTCTCCAGATAACCTCTGGGCAGGAAAAACTCCTGGAAGCTGCGCACGAATGTCGCCCACGCCGTCCACTGCCGGTTGTTGGCCACGTACCACTTCAAGGCCATGCCTTTCAGCAGCTCTGGCATCGCTCTCGGGATCATGTCCAGATCCAGGCCATATGTGTCCGCCGACCACTCCACCTGCTCCAAGAACTCCAAAGGCTTGGTGGTGCCATCAAATCGGAAGCTCCACTCTCGCACTTGTTTGGCCACCTTTGGATATTCTTGGGCTGTGTTGCCGAGTCCTCGTGGCCTTATTTCAGGTTGCGGGGTGGATGTGGCTCTCATCTCACCCTGTGTCCTGCAGTCGCGCTGCTGCGCTTGTGGAGGGCACACAGAGCCGCGCCACATGCGCAAGCTCTGATTCCAGGTCGTCATCCACCACGGCTGTTGTCGCCTCATCCCTGAGTGAGGCACGGCGTCCATGCAGTCGCCCCAACTCGGCGATCCTCAGTGAATAAGGAATGCTTCCATCATTCCCCTCAACACAACTCCGCATCGCGTCCAGTTTGCCTGACAAGCTCACCCCGAACTCGTCACCATAACGCAGCACTTCATCCTATTTCAGATTATATACCCACGCTCACACCATATTCACAAATATTCGCTAATTAATCTCTTATCGCATGGCCCCACGTTGGGCGCCAGTTGTAACGAACCTTCGGTTTATCCCGAGTCAAGGCTGGGCTAGTTTCAGCAGGCTGTGGATTCGTGCCAACAAATTTATTTGTTGAAGCCCCTACGATATTAATTAGACACTTGTGAATTTAGGTTTAATAGCGTAAATGTATATTCTCTTAAATAAGTTTGAAATGTACACGTCACTTAAATTTATGCTGGTTCGCTGGTTGGCTTTAGCGAAGCACACCTACTGAGCGCTGGTTCAACGCACTCCGGCTGGGACGATTCGGGAAACGCCAGGACCTCGCTCTGTAAACTCTGGCGGTTCGCTCAGATATACAGGCCTCTCGTACTATCCCACTCGTTCACAGCACAACACTAGCTATGTTTCACTCATAAACACTTCTCTTGCGCACGGCTACGTGAACTTACTCAGATGTGCAGGCCTCGCTTAAGCCGCTGATATGGACGGACAGGGCCCAATCAATTCAACTCGTCGCCCTGATCAAGAATATATATACTTTGTGGGGTCTGCCACGCCTCCTTCTACCTGTTACATACATTTCAACCAAACCATTATACCCTGATTTCCCATTTACAATGGGTTCAGGGTATGAAAACCTGGACAAGTTATCGATTATTGAAGAAAATCTCGATATGCGCGTGGTAAACACGGACCTTGAAAAAAAATAAAGTCTCTAGCTCTTATATCTTCTCAGATTGACGCGTTAAAACATACGAACAGACGGACGGACAGGCGGACAGGGCTAAATTGACTGAGCTCGTTGTGGGGTCTGCCACGCCACCGTGATTTGCCATTTTCAATGGGTTCTAAGTATAAATAAAAGAACACAAGGTCATTCCAGGATTAAAAGATCTCCTAGTCAGCCACCGCAACTGGAATTTTCTTAGTTATTTGCTACTTTATTTTAATTTAATTACTTTTTTTTCAATAGTTTCTACGTGAAGAACTTAAATATGACTCTGGCTATGAAAAACGTCAAAAAGCATTTCATTTCAATGATGACATGCATATTTCAGTAAAGGAATTATGGGATGCTTGGTTGCGCTCTGAAGTACATAATTGGACCATTGAGCAAACAACCGATTGGTTGGCACAATCAGTTCAGCTGCCCCAATATGTTGATCTTTTTAAACAACACAAAGTAACCGGTGCTGCTCTACCAAGGTACGTAATTTTATTGTATTGGATAGATATACATACTTAGTAAGGTTGTCACATTAATGCGCTTAGAACCTATAAAAGCTAAAAACTTACAAATGTAAGCACGATTTGACACTCAGTAAAATTATGTTTTATCTGTTTCATCAAGATCAATTAAAAGCGATAAAGAAATTCAGGTATCAGACCATATACCAAAATTTATCGATTAATATACAATTTCCTTTTTAGCTATATATGTATGTATATATATTTATAAATTTTATATGATAGTAAGTTGTAATTTTTTGTATTCTTCACTCGTTTAATGGTTTTGTTGAAATGTATGTAACAGGCAGGAGGCGTGACAGACCCCATAAAGTATATATATTCTTGATCAGGGCGACGAGCTGAGTCGTCCGTCCGTCTGTCCGTATGTATGAACGCGTCGATTTCAGAAGATATAAGAACTAGAGACTTAAAATTTTTTTAAATGTCCGTAATTACAGCGCGCATATCAAGTTTATCATTAAAAATCGATAACTCATCCCGATCTTTTTTTTATCGATAAAAACCCGTATCGAAAACCAGTTATAAAATTATATCTCCTACACCTTTATTGCTAAAGTCTCCAAATTTTTTATGTATGCTAATATGCAATTTATACAATTTCGGTTTCTGTTAAAATTTACCCCCCACCCCCATATCCACCCCCTCACTCACACTTTTGTAAAAAGCGTATTTCAAATACTAGAGACTTGTGCTTTGGCAAATACATGCATATCCATGTTGTAATCATAATCTGAAAGTTTCATGAAGATCGTATGTCCACAACAAAAGTTATTAAACAATTAAGTTCTCATAGTAAGCCAACACTGCAGCCCATGCGTGTTTATGCGTGGGTGCTTGTGTGTGTATGTGTTTGTGTATGTGTGTGTATGTGTGTGTGTGTGTATGCGTTTGTGTGTGTGTATGCGTGTGTGTGTGTGTGTGTGTGTATGTGTGTGTGTATGCGCGTGTCTGTATGTATGCCTGTGTGTGCGTGTGTGTGTGTGTGTGTGTGTGCGTATTTCTTGTGAAAGCTGAAAGACGTGAAAAATTATTGAAATAGCTATTGCTCCAAGGGTTCAGGGAATCTCGTAGTCGAGCAGTCTCGACTATGGCTTTCTTACTTGTTTATCGATAAAAAACCTTATCGAAAATCAGTTAAAAAATTATATCTCTTACATCTTTGGAGCTACAGTCTCCAAATTTTGAATGAATATTTATATGCATACATAAAATGCATTGTATAAAATGCATATAAGTCTACATAAAAAATTTGGAGACTCTAGATTTAAAGATATAGATATAAATTTATTACTGGTTTTCGATCATGTTTTTAATCGATAACAAAATAACAGGGCAAGTTATCGACATTTAAAACAAAACTCGATATGCGCGTGCTATACACGAACCTAGGAAAAAAAATTTAAAGTCTCTAACTCTTATATCTTCTGAGATCGACGCGTTCAAACATACGGACAGACGGACGGACGGACAGACGGACGGTCTGCCACGCCTCCTTCTGCCTGTTACATACATTTAACAAAACCATTATTTTCCCATTGAAACTGGGTTCAGGGTATAAAACACAGCTAATAACAAACAAGTAAGAAAGCTCTAGTCGACTCTGCTCGACTACGAGATCCCCTGAACCCTTCGAGCAATAGCTATTTCAACCATTTTTCGCGTCGTTTTGCTTACACAAAAGACACGCACACACACACGAACACACACACGAACACACACACGAACACACACACGCACACACACGCATACACATATACACGCACACAAGCATCCACGCCTAAACACGCATGGGCTGCAGTGGTGGCTTACTGTGGGAATTTAATTGTTTAATAACTTTTCTTGTGGACGGACTATGTTCATGAAACTTTCAGATTATGAATATAACATAGATATGCATGTATTTGTCAAAGCACAAGTCCCTAGTTTTTGAAATACGCCTTTTACAAATGTGATAGTGAGGGGGTGAATTAGAGGTGGGGGGTAAATTTTGACAAAAATCGAAATTGTATAAAATGCATATAAGTCTACATAACAAATTTGGAGACTCTAGATTTAAAGATGTAGGAGATATTAATTTATTACTGGTTTTCGATAATGCTTTTAATCGATAACAAAATAACGGGGCATGTTATCGATATTTAAAACACGCGCATGCTATACACGGACCTAGGAAAAAAATTTCAAGTCTCTAACTCTTATATCTTCTGAGATCGACGCGTTCAAGCATACGGACAGAGCTAAATCGACTCAGCTCTTCGCCCTGATCAAGAATATATATACTTTATAGGGTCTGCCACGCCTCCTTCTGCCGGTTACATACATTTAACAAAACCATTATACCCTGATTTCCCATTGAAAATGGGTTCAGGGTATAAAAATAAAATATCTATATATATATATATATAATAATAATAAATAATAATATTAATTCACATACATACATATATGTAATCTAAATAGATATTAGATTTTTATACCCTGAGTATATATATATATATATATATATATATATATATATTTTTTTTTTTTTTTTTTCTATTTTCTAATATTCCTATAGGATATCCCTTTTGGGGAGATCTATTGGGTGGCACTTTTTGAGGCGTCTTTTCCTCGGCTTGGCTAGCAAATTTGTGTGCCTGTCAAGCACACAATTTTGCCGACCTTTGCAATCTTTACATCCTTTAACGTCCGCTTGGGCGACCCTAATTTTGTTCAAGTTTGTTTTTGTCGCAATGTCGTATATCTCTAGGGCGTATTTCCAGATAGGGCTTAGGAATCTCTTGCATATCGTGGTTTAGCCCATTCTTCAAAGCTATTCACGTACTGCTGCAAGGATTCCGTTTCTGTGTTAATGCTCGGACTTCTAGTCAAAACTGCAGTGTCATCCGCATAGGTTGCTATCAAGACATTGTCCTCATCTTATCCTGCAACTACATTTATGGTCGGCATATCGGCTGTATATAGATTGTACAGCGTTGGTCCAAGCTTCGAGAATTTTTCTCCATTCACAACAACTCTGAAACATCTATCCATGAAGAAGCTCGTAACAAGTTGGAATAGCTGTGGTGGTAAGATGCTCTTCAATATATATTGAAGACCATCGTGCCACACCCTGTCAAAAGCTTGCCGGATGTCCATAAAATCAGCAGCCGCATACATTTTTTGCTCCATTGCATCGAGGGCGAATTTGATGACACCCACACGATGAAGCAGTTCCGGCGTACCGTGTCCTCGTCTAAATCCAATAAACAATAAACAGCAGCGCTCTTTGTGGCAGGAGTTTTAAAGTTCTATTATTCAGCAAGTCTTCTCCATGGGCTTTTTTAGTTTTCAGCTTATTTATTTGCCGCAAAACCTCTTGAATTGTGACTGGAATTGCAGGCAGTGACATCTGGAAGGGCGTCTCCAAACTTACCTCAATATCTCTTCTTGTTCTGTCAGAAGTAAGATTAAATGGCTTAAATCTTTCAACTAAGCTGTCCTCAAAGATTTTAGCCTTCTGTTGATTGGAATAACACCAACCACACGACTGGTTTTTGTTTGGCGTTTTCGGCATGGCGACTCTTTTAAATCAGCTTGTAAGCTTCCAGAGTGTGTAATTGAAAGATGCATCAGGGCCCGCACTTTCTAGTATTCCTGCTTGGCTTTTGCAAGGACATTTTGCAGTCGGTTCGAAAGTCTAGTGTAGATCTGGTGGACTTTTCTAACTCTTCTTTTCAGACGTAAGAGAGCGTCAACGTTAACCACTTCTTATCGCAAATAGATAAATAGATTTATAACGGTTCTTCCGGTTTGTTCTACAATATTCAGCCAAGCAAAATTGGTGGCGAAGGGGGCGTGGTTCCAAAATCTGTAAATTACAAAATGCTCGTATTCATCATATGTATATACACAGTAAATCTGAAGTCTCCCCGTTTGAATGTGTTCAAATAAGGTTGCTAAAACAAAGTCACTTTTTCGATTACTCTCGATAAAAAAGTTATCGGATGAGTTATCGAAAAAATATGGTAAACTTGTAAGATATAATCACTAACCAGAGAACACATAGACTAGACAACTAGTGGAAAGCTTTTTGCACGCTATTTTTGAGGCTTTAGAACCCCAGACAGCTTTGGACTCGCTCGGCTCCTTACTTTTAGGTTCGAGCTACGAAAAAATACGAACGCACAATCATTTCGCTTCATGCGCTCGACCGAGATGGTCAACTTTTGAACAAAAGATCCCTCTATGCTCCCTTGCTCTCTCTCTCTCTCGATGCTCTCTGCTCTCTCGAATGTGTATATGTATGTATGCATGTGACCACAAGCAGCAGCTCACGAAAATTGAAATTTCGTCGCAGCAAGAACCCATGCCTTCCCTTCTGTGTGAAGAGTATACCGAACTTTTCAAAGCGTTTGCCATGCGTTTGCGTTATTATTTGTGGGAAGAGTATGAAAGCGTTGGTGCGCATAATGAAAATGTTATTGCGACGAGCATGCACACACACACTTACAGTATGCTACATGTACTATGAGCATTTGTATGCCTGTGTGCAAAGCCCTTGCTGGCTATAGCAATTTGAAATCCTAGCATTTGCATTTGGTCGATCTTGTGAAGTGCTCACACTTACATAAATATGTTTGATTGTGTGTACGCAGGGGCCGCGATGCTCACAAATGATGGGGTTATCATTGTAGAAGCAGTTCAGTGCCTTTATATGTATGTGCGTGTGTGTATGTTTATAAGTGTATGCATGCGACATGAGCATTGACGTGTGCCTACGACAACTTAGAATTGTGTGAACGATTTTGGGTTTGACCGGAAGAGGCGCGCTTATATTTAAGTAGATGATTTTATTTCAATGATCGTGGGTTTGCCTATCAGAATGATTTTTGCTAGAAATGTAGTACCTGTGATGAAATATCGATACCAGATGCTTATCAGCTGACTGAACGACAAAAATATGCTAATGCACG